CGTGCTCGCAGACACGGGCTTCGCCAAGGACCAGCGTCCCGACGCCTCTGTCCGCTGTCGCTCGACCGCCCTCTACATGTCCACGGGCTACCTCTGCCCCTCCATCTCCAAGGGGGGCGAGTACTCGAGCAAGACGGACGGCTACGCCATCGGCATCACCCTCCTCGTCTGTCTCACCAACCGGTCCGAGGTGCAGCTCACCGACCGGTGCGAGGACGAGTTCGAGGAGGATTGGACCGACATCGACGCGGCGAAGCTCGCCGACGTGGCTGCGGGCTGGCCAGTCGACGCGGCGCGCGCGGTAAAGGATCTCGCCAAGGCGGACGGGAAGAGCCTCTGCCACGACAGCTTGCGCAAGCGGCCCACGCTGCCCGAGGCGCTGCTAGCTCTCCGGGCGCTGCTGTCTGGCGCGCAGGGCGGGGCGGGGGTGGAGGAGGCTGCGCCGGCACCTGGAGACGAGGCCGCTGCGGCAGCCGCCCGCACCACCGGCTACGAGCCTTCGCCGCTCTCGGTGCAGGTGCGCGGCATGCGCACGGGCGGCGACGCGCAGGCGCGCATCCAGGGCAACATGTTGCTCGCCTTCAACACGCTGATGCCGCGCCTCGACGCCGTCTACGCCTCGCGCTCTGCGGCGGCGCCCGACGGCTTCGAGGAGCGCATCAACTTTTGGCACCGCGAGTGCGGCTTGCCGACCGAGCTGCGGAGCCAGCTGCACTCGCTGCGCATCTGGGCGAACGCGGCGAGGCACCACGACGCGGCGAGGTGGAGGAAGGACGGGCCGCGCAGCGAGGGGGAGGCGTCGCGGCTCGTGGCGGCGGTGACGGAGGCGATCGGGGCGATCGAGGGGTGAATGCAGTCGCTGCGCGGGCGGTCTTGAGGCCTCGCGATCGTCTCTCGTTTGTGTCTCGGACTCTCTCTCTCTCTCTCTCTCTCTCTCTCTCTCTCTCTCTCTCTCTCTCTCTCTCTCTCTCTCTCTCTCTCTCTCGTGCTTGTTTTCTCTCTTTTGGTGTAGCCAATCCCCGTTTGCGAAAAGAATTGAGAGACCAACGTGAGATCAGAGATCCCCGCCAGAAAAGTGAAAACACGAAACAGAGCCGCGAAAATTTACACACGCGACACGGATGAACCGCCCAGTCGGAGGCTAGGGTACCCCTGAGCCCTGGTCTGACAGCCTGACAGCAAACCCCGGACAGCGCCTGACAGTGCCCGACAGCCTGACAGCGCTGACAGCACTTTCTCTGACAGTCTGACAGCACGTATCTGACAGCCTGACAGCAGAGCCTGACAGGCGAGGCGCTCCGTCGCTGTCAGACCCTAACGTGACAGCCTGACAGCTGCCTGACAGCCCGACAGCACACAGTGGCCTGACAGCAGCGCTGACAGCCCGACAGCAGCATGCAGACCGTACACAGTCAGACCCCCCCGTAGAGCCTCTTTCTTGTGCCCCATGAGGGTATAACAAAACTATTACATGCAAAGACATGTACATGCACATGCACATGTGAGTGTGGTCCATGTAGTCATGGGATGGTCATGGGTCTCTCTCTCAACCCTCCCGCCCCACCTCTGCGGACCCCTCTCTAGCACCGGCGGCTGTGCTACTACAAATGAAGCTACCAGCTAGCCTTCTGGGGCCCTACAGTCATATGCCTACGGTGTCTGGGTGGGGGTGGCCGCCGCCGTCTGTGCCGCCGCCGCGGCCTGCGCCTGCGCCGCCATCTGCGCTCCCCAGGCGGCCGCCCCTGCCGGCGTGATCACGCCGTAGGAGGGGGGCAGCTGCGTACCCGCTGGTCTCCTCTTGATAGTGTCATAAGTGTGGCTGGTGTGTGTCAGAGCCTGACAGCACCCCGACAGCTAGGGCAGCCCGACAGCACCACCTGACAGCACCTGACAGTAACAGCCCAACGTCTGACAGCAGCAGCAGCCTGACAGCTCTGACAGCTCCAACAGCGTCTGACAGCAACACCCGACAGCTTCGACAGCACCCGACAGCTACAGAGCCCCTCGCCTGTCAGACACGCACCCGACAGCACCCGACAGCACTGACAGCACCTGACAGCTGGTCTGACAGAGGCACCTGACAGTGCCTGACAGCTGCCCGACAGCCCGACAGATCACCTGACAGCACCTGACAGCCTGACAGCCAGGGCTCAGGGGTACCCGGGGGAGGGGCCCGAGGAGGGGATGGTGCCGTGGGGAGACAGCGGGTCAGCCGGCGGACCGGAAGGCCGGGATCGGAGGGCCCCGGGTGAGGCCTGGAGTCAACTGTCGGAGGAGGTGAGAGTCGAGCTGACTCGGCCTCTGCGAGTGGAGTCGGGCCGTGGAGCCCACCGCCGGGCACCGGGGGTAGACCCGTCGCGGCGTCGGCTGGACCGCCGTGATTTACGACAAGAGGCCTTCCCGAGCTTAGTGAGGAGCAGGAGGAAGGGGAGGGCGAGCCGAGAACGATAGAGAGGCCACGGGTGCGGGCGCGACTCGCTGACCAGGGAGAGCCGGCCCGACCTCCCGGAGAGGGGTGGCGACGAGACATGATGCTGCCGCCCTCACCCGGGGAGTCGGGCGCGGGATCGCCGGAGACGGAGTCAACAGGATCAAGCGGACGATCCCGCGCCGATCAAGCGGGCGGGGCCGTAGCCGAAAAAGGCTAGGAGGGGAGGTCGGGCCCCGCGCCCGTCGGATGATCTCCCAGCCACCCCTCGCGCCTCGGAGCGTGCACTATCGCACCACTCAGCTGTAAGTCACAGCGATTTCAATCACGCCTGTCACATTTCGATCACGCCTGTCACTCTACAAGCAGCCCAAAGTCGCCCTCGAACTCCTCGAGGTCGCGCTGGCGCGCCGCGCCGTCCGGGCCGTAAGAGCCCAGCCTGGTCTGGGCCCGCTCTAGCCAGCCGTAGAGAAGGGGGCGGCAGCGCTTGTAGGCCACAGAGCCCCGTCCACCGCCTCATACCAGCGCTGCAGGTCGCGCATCCTCTCTTGGGAGGGAGGCGGAGGACGGTGGTCTCAGGTTCGAAAATGGTCTCACGTTCGAAAACCTCGTCGCCGATCGTGGCAGTGTCTGGCACGGTGACGCGGGTCAGGGAGGAGCAGCGGGCGAAGGCGCCGTGGCCGATGGAGGTGAGGCCGGCGGGGATGATGACGCGGGCGAGAGAGGAGCAGTATTCGAAGGCACACTCGCCAATGGAGGTGAGGGTGGCGGGTAGGGTGACGGAGGAGAGGGAGGAGCAGCGGTAGAAGGCGCTGATACACCGATGGATGTGAGGCCGGCGGGGAGGCTGACGAAGGCGAGGGAGGAGCAGCGGTCGAAGGCGCCGCTGCCGATGGAGGTGAGGCCGGCGGGGAAGGTGGCGGAGGCACATCAGGTCTTGCGGCACGCTCTCCGACAGATGCATGCCTTTTGAGCAAGCCCAGGCGCCTCCACCGTCGCGTAGTATGCCAGCGGCACGCCGGTACGCCTACGAGTCGTGCGCGCTCGGCAGTAATCGGCGTTGAGAGGAACGAGAGCGCCGTGTGGGGTAACCGGCTCAAAGAGGTGCAGGTGGGGTTCGAGCGTACGACGGCGGCTTACTACATAAAAAGAATTTGGACGTCGAGCTGACTGGCACGACCAGGGCTGCGAAAAGCGGCGGGGGCACGCACGCGCAGCACACTTAGGCGAGGACTTCAGCACACTCCACGCCGTGGGGCTGCTAGCACGCTACACGGCGACTACATCAAGACAGCGAAAGCCTTCATCCGCGCCGCCGCCAACGGAGCCACCGCCTCCCACGCGCCCACTGACGGGTCGTACCGCTCGACTGAGCTGAGGCGAGTGCCGCCGCCGTCGCCTCCCACAGCGTACACCTTGCCGTCGAGCACCGCCACGGCGTGAGCATACCGCGCCGTTGCCATCGGCGCCACAGCCTCCCACGCGTTCAACGCCGGGTCGTATCGCTCGACCGAGCTGAGGTAGCCGTCGTCGTCGTTGAAGCCGCCCACAGCATACAGCTTGCCGTCGAGCACCGCGACAGCGTGCTCATACCGCGCCTCTGCCATCGGCGCCACCGCCTCCCACGCACCCACCGCAGGGTCGTACCGCTCCACCGAGCTGAGGACGTCGTCGTCGTGTGTGTACCCGCCCACAGCGTACAGCTTGCCGTCCAGCACCGCCACGGCGTGATCATACCGCGCCGCCGCCATCGGCGCCACCGCCTCCCACGCATCCAGCGCCGGGTCGTACCGCTCGACTGAGCTAAGGGTGTGATCGTCGTCGTTGTACCCGGCAACAGCATACAGCTTGCCGTCGAGCACCGCCACGGCGTGAAACTCGAGTGATTG